CTCTTCCTTCTATCGGAGCAGAGGAAGTTTGGCTTTTGGCTTCCCAGTTTAACGGAAATCCATTTGGTGAAACTCAAGGTGCTTCTTCTTTCTCTCCAATTACAGTAGAGGGAGTTTGGCTCTTGGCTTCAGAATTTAATGGAAATCCATTCAGCAAGACTGGGAGTGCTTCTTCTTTTTCTCCAACTGGAGTAGAGAGAGTTTGGTTTTTGACTTCCTAGTTTAACGGAAATCTATTCAATGAAACTTGGGGTATTCAATCGCGTTGCGTCGCATTCGCGGGAAAGATGCCACAATCAATTCAGCAGCATTTCCTGGACACGGTATAATCTTGACATTGAACGTGTGCCAAGTGTCAAGGGACACTTCGCGGTTGCAGTCGTACAAATCTCATGGGCGTCGCGTTGCGTCCCGGGTATCGCGCGACGCGGATTTCCCGACGACGGGATCGATGTCGGGGTAACGCGTGTGCGCGTTAACAACACACGTGCATGGAATGTGCCGCCGACATGTCGTCTTCGACGTTGTTGCGCCAATAGGGGTGTGGCGAGGGAGGAGGCTCCTTCCGGCGCGTCTGATGATGTAGACGCATTATTGTTTCAAGCAATCGTTACTCCGATTCGGGCGAGAGCGAACCGCATATTGTATCGCGCTCGTTTTCTCGCCGTGCCGCACTGTGTCGTTTCCGAAAATTGTGCGTGAGGCAAGTGCGTGCCTAGGACGTATTCGTTCCATTATTTTCGGACGGAGAAAAGGTGCGAAGGATCGATTGTGAGCGACCGCAGATACGCTGACTCTTCTGTTTGGCAGAAGGCTCGTTCCGATCGATCGTCGAACGAGAAACGTGCCGATTTGTTCGGGATTTTGGCGTCGCAATCTTTTTGTCTGAATTGGAATAAATGTATAGACAGATTCGGGAATTTCTGTTAAAAAATTTCTATACGCTGAGAAAATGTTTAATTGAAAATGGACAAATCAGAATCTCGTTTTTGTTCATTTTCAATTAAATAATTTTTTTAGTGTAAAATACGCTTCCGTCGTAAAAAACAAATATTGTATAGAACAAAGGATTGATTCGATATTTTATTTACTGAGCTCGCCGCGAAACTAATTTGCCAAGATATTATTGATTACGTAAGGACAAATTATAAATCAGTTAAATGTATAAAAATGTCGCTAACATAGCATTTATTTCGTAAAACTGTGGCAGAATCGAATGAGATGTTCGTTTTATGAATAATTCTGATTTCACCGCATTCACTATCGGTGATACAATCTCCTCTCAGGATAAAAGACCATCGCCATAAACTTGATTATACTCTTGACAAAAAATATCTCGTTAAAAATGAACGAATCAGAAGATTTTATCAAATCAATTAGAATTCTCAATTCAATTAGAATTCTAATTGATTTGACAAAATCTTCTGATTCGTTCATTTTTAACGAGAGATTTTTTTGTCAGGAGTATAATCAAGTAGAATTCAATTAGAATTATCTTAATTAGAATTATAATAGATTCAACTAGAAAATTCTGATTTGTTCATTTTCAACTGGAATTCTAATTAATACATGAGAGAGAGAGAGAGAGAGAGAGAGAGAGACTCTTTTTTTCAGTGTGAGGAATAAAAAAATAACTAAAGTAAACTATGTTTTTTCTTAAGAAATAATCTTAAGCATTAATCTTTTCATATATTGCCACTTCTTTTTTAATACAATATGTAGAAGACCCAAATGTGTCGTCTAATATCTTCAATATCGTCTTCATGTAATAATCACAAGCGATGTTATCTGATTCTTCTTTCGCTAATGTTCTAATATTCGAATTGTTGCGATCGAGCTCGACAGGGATCAAACAGGGCAATTTTGATAATGGAATAATTCCGCGATCTATAATTCAAATTGATCAACAAAATATATAGTCTGTGGTGTGATGTATGTATCTTGATTCTGCATTAAAAGAAATGAGAATAAAAATAAAAGAAGATTAATGTGCTTAAAATTAATTCTTAAGGCAAATGTAGTTTATGCATTGAAGTTTTTTTTATTTATTACAGATCCAGTTTTTAGTATTTTATGACGATATCACAAAGTGTAATTTATTATCCTATTTTTTTAGCTAACATTTTAATTGCTACGATCGATCAAATGGGACATACATTGCATTAATTCTGATGATGGATAGAATAATTCCGTGATCTAGCTCAAGTCGATCAATATATGTATACGACCAGCGTTTCAGCGCATTTTGAATTTGCATTAAAGGGAAAGAAATAATTATAATGAAAATTAGAATTTCAGTTAGGAAGGGGGCAAAAATTTTTCTTGACATGAAAAAATTTATTAAAATACTTAATATTAAATAAACAGTAAATATTCATCGAGTGAGAGTAAAAGAACTGCGCGGTAATTCGTGTGTTATAATTTGATCATCATAAGTTGTATCTACATACCTTTCTATATTATTTACAAAACGATCGGATATTTCGAATTAATTCAAGTTATCATCAGCGATATCAAGAATTCAAACATTTCATTAATGTGAACAATGAGTGCACAGAAGATACAATTCTGGTATTTATTTTCTGTGGACTCGTTCACATTTAATGAAATGCTGATGACGGCTTGAATTAAATCGAAACGTCCGATCGCTTTGTAAACAATGTAAGAAGAAGTTAAACACAATTTATGCATGATGTTTAATTTCGCGCAGTTCTTTTACTCTCACTTTTACTCTCGCTCTTGTTGAATATTTACTTTTTGTTTAAATCTTGCAAAAGTCGATTAATCACACTATTAAAGTCTTCAAAGATCTTCAGCAAACTTTCTTAAGATATGCATTAGCTAATAAGTTCATTTTTTGTTGTAAAAACGATTCTCATATTTTAATTGTTTTTCCTTATAAAAAATTAGAAGTAAAGCTTCCCTGCATACATCCATCAAATTGATTCTTGGCTGTATTTAACAAAGAAATAGCTTTGTAATTGTTGTAAACTTCTTTAATATGATTAGCCTTTCCTTCAATTCCTCACTGGATCTAAATGTATAAGTAAATCATATTAAACTGCGTTGTTTCACACCTTTCGATAAACTTCAGTTCACTTTCTTACTCTCTTAGGCTCTTACTCTCTCGTATTCCTATCAATTATCACAAATTTATCCGAAGACGGAACAATTAAAGCTTTTGAAGAATTTTACAATTGTAAAGCTGCTTTCTGTACTGAACGCAGCCAATGAAGTTTGCATTGAAGTATCTTGTTTTACTTCTCGCAGATTCAGTTTTTCATCATATTTTATGGCAATGTGTCATAAAACACGCGCGGATCTGCGAAGTCAGGAGGCGAAATGTACGCGACGGAAATGCTAATCGTGTCGTTTTAGTGCTACGATCGTCCGATAAACGAGCGGCGAACGTTTTGCATGCGAACGGAGGACGGGATGTAATAACGCCCGGGATTACGCGACCGCCCACTATCGCGTAACCGTATTACGCAATCGTTATCTCCCGGACGACAACGTATTCGGCGTGGCGTAGTGCGTCGCCGAGTTTTTTTTTTTCCGAGCGAACGGGAAATCGATAATCCCCGACGTTAATTAAATCCGTCGCGTCACGTTGCGCCGTTCCCGCGACGTCGCGACGACGCACGCCGCGACATTCTGAAGATCCTCATTTAATTTCTTGTATAATACGTTCGTCAATTTTTCATCAAATGCATGGGACACGTGTCGCAAATTCTTGGCACTCTTAGCAGTCAAACTTGTCGAACCTAAACATATGTATACAGGGTGTCGCGCGGTTACCTTTCAACATCGAACTGATTTCTTCGAGCAACCTAGAAATTAAACTTCTTTTGACGAAGAAACACATTTATCATAAACGTACTGAATTGGAATAAAAGTTAATTGCTCCATTTATATCATGACTATGTTTTTAAAAATTTCGGCTTTAAGAATCTATATTTTTTAAATTGCAGCACGATGATTTTTAACGTAGTTACGAGTAATTAAAGTTAAAATGCTCCTTTTATTTAATAACGTAATAATTTAATAACAAATTTTAGGAATATTTTAATAAAACGATTTTGTAGGAAAAACTTTAAGCTTTTATAATAGAAAGCAAAAAATCTTCGCAAAATCTTTGTTTTTGCGATTTGTGACAGACCCACAAAGTAGAAAAAAATTTTGTCCAGTTCGTAGTTTTCTATATAGAAAAATTATCAACTCGTAAAAATTCAAAATACATAGTGTTCTTTTAAAAGTAGAGATTTTAAGCTTCAAAGCTCTTTTTTTTAACTTAAATTTCGTTCATTTTTAACGAAGTTATAGTTGCTTAAACTTTGAAGTTCGTAACGCTACGAACTTTTGTTCCATCTCAATATTAATTATAAAACTATTTCTGTTTATTAATTATTATTGTCATTGTCACATATTAATATATATCATACAAAATATATCTATATTCTTATTATATAATTGACTATATTTTACAATTATTTTGTTATTATTATTATTATTATTAATGCGTATATTTGCAGAAGTATTGCGGATAAAGTCCCGAGAAAAGCCGACGAAATATACGCCGACACCCTGTATATAAGATGCACTGTTACGCAGCGCTGCAAGCAGCTGCAAGCACGTGACAAAAACGTCGTCGTCGTTGGCGTGACGCGATGCGATGCATCGGCGCGAGCCATTGGTGCATCCTTTTTTTTTTCGCGCGGAAACGCGAGTGCGTTCGTCGCAGGTGTTCGCTAAACGTTCTTCAAGAACACGGCTAACTGTGGATAATCACGCATCGTGATAAGCCGACCGTTATTTACGGAAACCGTTTCCCGAGCTCTCTCGTCATACTCGGCATAACCTCAAAAAGTCAGTGGAGGCGCGTCGGCGTCGACGTCGGTCGGACGTCCGTTCCCTCTACCCCGAATGGAGGCGAACGCAACGCGCACCGACATCGTTGCGCGGCACGTCGCGCGCGACGATCGATGTAATTAAAGGGGGAGGATTATTCATCAGGGTTTTTACAGGCGATCGACAAACCGCCTCGCGGAACTGACGTCGTGCCCGTCGTCTTCCTCGATGCTGCGACCTCGCAGCTGCTGCTCTGGTCCGGCCGCGACACGAGCTCCGATCGGAGTGCCGCGCGCGTGAAAGAGAGAAAGAGACACCCTCGTTTATCGCTCGTTCACGCGGAGCAACACGGAGGTGGCGGAGGTCGGAACATGAATCGGCAAGGGCGTAGCGCGCGTGTAGACATGTGAGGTACGTGCGTGCGAGGAAGTGAGAGAGCTAGAGGTAGAAAGATCCGGCGAGAGAAACGAGCGACGATCATGGAAGTCGCCGTCACGAAGCTGGTGCAGTGGTTCAACGAACTCCGATCCCGGGTACATCTTTATCTGCACGCCCAAACTCGTAAGTTATCCCCCCGGACGGGCGCGTGCGAGGATTGATTCTATAGTAAAATAGTAAAGACCGCGGAAATGTCGTTAATGCGAAACAACAGTCGACGGAATCGATCGGATGGTTTTCACGGTGTACTTCTAATGATGCTTAATAATGCCGCTAACAGCTCTTATCTAAAGGAAGTCTTTCGTATACTGTTTTCAGACCTGTGTGTGTGTGTGTGTGTGACTTTGATGGAACCATGTTAACAAAAATGTTGTTATTTATTTCAAGGGCACTTCGATAAGTGATTCATACTAATTTTTTAAAACTAATTTTATATAGAGTATAAAGTGATTTAAGATAATTTCCTGGCAATATTTATGCGACCATCGAGATTTTCATTTAATGTTCCTCGTTTAATGTTATCTCGTAATGCAAGTCAATAATAGTGGTGTCGATATGCTCGAGCTAATTTTTTATAAAGACGTTATCTCTTACTTTTATCCCAAAGAATGTATCTGAGTGTAAATATATTTGTTGAAACAAAAGTTCGTAGCACTGCTTTATTTGAATCATGTCTACATGTTAAAAAAAAGAATTGTCAATTATATCATTCAACAGCGCGTTGTAATTTTAAGTGTTTGTTTTTTAATTGCAATATGATTAAAAAAAAAAATAGTTTTGTATGAATTTTAAATTTTTACCTTTCTTAAATTGAAAATTTTCACAAGTTTTTTGGACACCTGATAGATCCATAAAGTGAGAGGAAAATCTCCCATTTTGTTTAGCTTGTAGTTTTCTATGTGTAAAAATTTTGAAACATATAGAAAACTTAAATGACATAATGATTTATCAGAAGTAGAGATTTTAAGCTTTAAAACCTTTTTTAAGAATTCAATTATTAAATTTAAATTTCGTTCATTTTTAACGAAGTTACAACTGCTTAAATTTTGACGTTTATAGTGCTACGAACTTTTGTTCTAGCACAATATAATGCATTTATAATATTATTACACTAACTAATATGCAGTATTATTATATATAATAGTAATATATAATTTTTTATAACATTATTATTAAAAGTATTAAATGTAGTAAATCAGTTGATTTTTGTACATCGAAGTCTATATCTCTCTATTTAATTATAATAAAAAAGAAATTAAAAGTACTTTTGGATTATTATGGATTACTATATATTATATTATATATGTTAATACATATATAATTTCTTTATATTATAATAATTATTATTGTATATCAATATATTGAATCTTTAAATTTTTATACGTCAAAGTCTATCTCTCTAAATTGCGGCAAAAGTATTCATTGGATTATTAATTAAGCGTGCCTTATCTCTCTTTTCAGTCGCAACTGCGCTTATCTTTTATTCTATTGACGTAGTCGTGTATTTTCGAATCAGCTGAGAGTGTTCTAAAATTATGAAAATCTATTCTACAGAATATAGACAATAGAGAGATATGTATATAATGCCATACTTTTTTTAACTCTGTTATATTATATAACAAGATATACAATGTTTACAGTGGTACTGAATTGTTCAGTATTGTACTTAAGTGTATAGATATTAATTTATTTTACGAAAAAAGAAAGATGTCTCCTATTTTGTTATTAAAATAAAAATATATCCAATTAAAAATTCGAATAAACCAAGATATATTGTGCTATGAATTTTACAATTCGAAGTAAAAAAATCAAGTCAGGATCACATGCTTAGTCGAAAAAAGAATTGTGAACATTTTTAACTTTCTAACTTGATAACTTATAAAGTTTTCTCTACAAAATTGTTTTTTTTAAAGCAAGTTTTTAAGATTTTTTTTGTTACTGAGTTACGAATTAAGTAAAAAGGAGTATTTTAACTTTGATTGCTCATAACTCCGAGAAATCATCATACTGTAATTAAAAAAATTAATATTTAAAGTTGAAACTTTGTTCTATCAAATGGTATAATTGACAAAATTTTTTAGAAAGACATGATACAAATAATGTAGCACTGGAATTTTTATCCGACCATTATTTAATTATCATTGAATTCTTTCTATTTGCCTAGTTTCGAGGAAAATTGAAGAAAGATAGCTAATACAGTCTGTATGTACATAGCAAACATCTAAAGTCGATATTGCGTCTCAATAAATGGTAAATGTAAATACGCATGCACGACAATAAACTGAGGCCTCTTGCGTAAATTGCGCACGATACGCATTAGCCAAGAACACATTACGATACCTGCGGCCGTATTTATCTTTCAAGTTTAGCGAGCTTATACGTATGATACTTTAATAGTGGTCATTTGCTGCGAATTGTTCGTGTCGCTGTACAACTGTCAGTTCGCTGTTCGTGGGCGGAACGACATACAGCCGGTGGCTATAGAAGAAATATCCGAGCACGATACGAATGTCATTTATGTCATAATAATGCTCTTACGATCCGATTCTCCGATAAAGTAGCGTGACTTTGTTCTTTACATTAACCTTTTCTTCAGCTGACGGTATATTTCTGTATCTGACGAATGGAGAAATGCGAGTCTATAATAGAGACCCGAAGAAATCTGCCGGCGATGCAAAACTGTCGATGCAGAACTGTCGATTTTTTTTGTTTATAGAAAGAAATTACACAGGAAATGGAAAACGTTTTCGATTGAATTATTGGTTAAATTAAATATTTGATTAAATTATTGATTAATCCTGCTGTTCTGTTCAAATTTATTATACGATAGTGTTGTTTCTTTACAAAGTTAAGTTGTTTCTTCAAAAGAAATAATTTGAAAGATATTATTCGGAGTTATTATTAGTTGTGTCATTTTTGAAAAGTAAATTTTATTTGGATTAATATAATCCAAAAGAGAGGTTCTAAAAAACGAAAAATTTTATAGAAAAGAAATTTTACATTAATAGATAAAGTTATGAAATACTAGAGAGAAAAGTTTTAAAATAAAATATTTGCTAAAAAATAAATTCAATTTTAGGTCAAATAGATTCAGATAGAATAGCAAGGTTAAATTGAGACATAAATATAGATCTTATATTACAGATAACTACGAGACACGTGATGTTATATGTAAATGATTAACTATTGATTTTCTAAATTGAATGAAAAAGGAAATCTATAGATTTTCCCTTAAGATTATGAAGCTTATATTTACACGCAATCAATACATATAAAATCGAACGCATTTTGTATGTTTATAGTTGGTCCGATAAGGGCGGAAAATGGCTCACAAGGTGACGATCAAACAGCCACGCAACAGAATGACGGCGAAGAGAGGATCATTTTCGTCAATGCCCCTCATCAGCCTGCGAAATATAAAAACAATCATATTACTACCGCGAAGTACTCATTTCTATCGTTTGTACCCTTGTTCCTGTTCGAACAATTCCGTCGCTACAGCAACTGTTTCTTCCTGTTCATCGCACTCATGCAGGTAAAATTTATGCAGAAATATTACAAATGTAACATATGCAACGAACGGAAACTTGGAATTTCTTAACAATACTTTTTCACAAATATTTTTAACTAAGAAAAAGGATCCTTATATCATATTATATGTGTTGGAAGCGTTTAACATTTTTTTAAATTTAAATTTTTAGCAAATACCAGACGTGTCTCCGACAGGACGGTGGACTACATTAGTTCCACTCATTTTCATCCTCAGCGTGTCCGCTTTGAAAGAGATAATCGAGGACATTGTACGTAAATTTATTATCATATTTTCCTCATGGTGATTTATACAAATGACGTATTTGTCAATTTTTAGAAAAGGCACAGAGCGGATGATGAAATAAATATGAGGGAAGTAGAGGTGTTGAGGGAAGGGCGATGGCAGTGGATACAGTGGCGCGCCGTGGCCGTCGGCGATGTGGTTAAGGTTACTGTTTTTGCCAAGATTATTCATGTGATAATAATTAATCACCGGTTACATTCCCCGCTAGAACCGTTCTCTTTAATATGCATAGGTTCACAATAACACTTTCTTCCCCGCTGACTTAATCTTGTTGTCATCGTCGGAGCCGCAGGGTATGTCCTTTATAGAGACCGCCAACCTGGACGGCGAGACAAATCTAAAAATCCGACAGGCCCATCCCGACACTGCCAATCTCTTGGATGCCGCCGAATTAATGAATTTTCGCGCGAATATCCAGTGTGAACCGCCCAATAGACATTTGTACGAGTTTCACGGAGTCTTACGGGAGACCAATAAACAGTAAGACATACATGTACAAAATACGCTTTCAATTATATTTCGTTTTCATTGCGCACTTTTTTCTCATTGCATCAATCCGTTGTTATTTGATTCTAACGAAAATTTTCTCTCATATTTGGACATTTTCCTTTTTTGATGTGTATGAACATTTTTCTCTGAACTTTTCATATAACTTCTTAGAATTTCTGAATAATTTTATAACTTTTCCAAAAATTTCTCAGATTTTTTTATACAAACTGAAACACTTTAGAAGTCTATATCTTTTCTACATTTACAATACATGTAAATATTCTGAAATATTCTTAAAAAATTCTAAAAAGAGTTGAACATTAAAAAAAAAATCTAAGAAAAGATAGCTTGGCTTCTTAATATTTCTGAAAAGTGTTTCACAATTTTTATAAAAATTTCGAGAAAAATTTTCATCGGATTTATGCAAATTTGTCATTTATCAACTACGAAGACTTAAATGTCTTTTACGTATTGTTCTTTTATTAATGAAAATGGCATTTTTTAATGTCTTCATATCTTTATGCCATGGGACAGTTAATGCGTAATTACGTCACAAACAGCATTCAATCTTTTACGTATTGTTCTTTTATTAATGAAAATGGCATTTGTTAATGTCTTCATATCTTTATGCCATGGGACAGTTAATGTGTAATTACGTCACAAACAGCATTCTTCTTCCACAGGAGCGTAGCTTTAGGACCCGATCAATTATTACTCCGTGGCGCGGTATTGCGGAATACGCGGTGGGTGTTCGGTGTAGTCATATACACGGGACACGACACGAAACTCATGCAGAATAATACTGCGACAGCGCCATTAAAACGATCCACCCTGGATCGGTTGATCAACACGCAGACGTTGATGCTATTTTTCATACTTCTTTTGTTGTGCATTCTTTCCGCGATATTCAACGTTGTATGGACGAACGCCAACAAAGAAGGTCTCTGGTATCTAGGATTACAAGGTAAATGCATGATATATGCGGACTCCTGTTGCACAGCATGTCAAGTAGTACTCAAGTTTTACTCTTTTTCTCATTTCAGAAGAAATGACTAAGAACTTCGCTTTCAATCTACTGACGTTTATTATTCTTTTTAATAATCTAATACCGATATCGCTACAAGTGACGCTCGAAGTAGTGAGATTCGTTCAGGCCACGTTTATTAATATGGACATAGAAATGTATCATCCGGAAACGGATACTCCAGCGATGGCTCGTACGAGTAATCTGAACGAAGAGCTCGGGATAGTTAAATACATATTCACGGATAAAACTGGCACCCTTACGAAAAACGTAATGGAATTTAAGCGATGTTCAGTCGGTGGAAGATTGTACGAGTAAGTTTCATGCCAATGATATACTTTTCTCTGCCATAAAAACTCAATACTGACATCGAATATTGATTTGTTGGACGTTGAATATTTTATAGTTTGCCAAATCCTTTAAATGACCTCGAAAGTACAAGTGATATCAACTGCGAGTTAATTAAGGATATCAAGGAAGGAAGATCTGTGCGAGATTTATCGAATCCCATCGATAAGAAGAAAGCGGAACATGCGGTCATACTTCACGAGTTTATGGTCATGTTGTCGGTTTGCCACACGGTTATCCCTGAAAAATTAGACGACTCCATAATTTATCACGCCGCGTCTCCTGGTAAAAATTACTTGTGAAATTCTTGCTTGATTCGTTAATTAATGAATTATGTTACATTCTTTCTTCTTCGTGTTAGATGAAAGAGCGCTAGTGGATGGGGCACGTAAATTTAACTATGTGTTCGATACGCGGACGCCCAGTTACGTGGAAATTGTAGCTCTAGGTGAGACGTTGCGTTACGAAATCCTAAACGTTATAGAATTCACGTCGGCCAGAAAGCGTATGTCTGTGATCGTGAAAACGCCCGAGGGAAAAATTAAGATTTTTTGCAAAGGCGCGGACTCGGTTATTTATGAAAGATTAATGTCGAGTTCTTTAGAAACTAGCGATCTTGACCTAGAACATGCAGACGATTTTCGCGAGACGACCCTAGAGCATTTGGAAGCCTTTGCCAGCGACGGATTACGGACGCTCTGTTTTGCCGTCGCGGAAATACCTGATAACGTTTATCAGGTGTGTATTCCATCTTGTTTTGAAGTTAATAAATTGTTTAATAATTTTCGATAATTTTTTTATAGTGGTGGCGCGAATCGTACCATAAAGCGTCAATTAGTCTTAGGAATCGTGAAAGTATGCTGGAACAAGCTGCAAATTTTATTGAGAATAAATTGACGTTATTAGGGGCAACTGCAATTGAAGATCAACTACAAGATCAAGTATGAAATATCATTAAATGATGAAAAATTTAAACGTTTATGGAATTGTAATTTGTTATTGAATTTCTTACAATATTATATAATTTCAGGTTCCAGAAACGATACAAGCTTTTATACAAGCTGATATCCATGTCTGGGTATTGACAGGAGATAAGCAAGAAACCGCTATAAATATTGGATATTCGTGTAAATTAATAACCCATGGAATGCCACTTTACATTATTAATGAATCTTCTTTAGATGTAAGTAGGTGATTATCAAAGTTTTAAACGTTCGGTCGATCTAACATAAAATGCCTTATGTAATATATATCATAGAAAACGAGGGAAGTTATTATTCAACGCTGTCTTGATTTTGGGATTGATTTGAAATGCCAAAACGACGTAGCCCTAATTATAGACGGCAGTACATTAGATTATGCTTTATCTTGCGACATCAGGATGGAGTTCTTGGAATTGTGTTCAGCTTGCAAAGTTGTCATTTGTTGCAGGGTGTCACCAATTCAAAAAGCTGAGGTAACATTTTAATTCTGTTCAAACTTATACAATAATTAATTGTAATGTTTTAACTTCTTTCAAATATTCTGACAATTTAGGTAGTTGATTTAATTACGAGTAACAAGAAAGCGGTGACTCTTGCGATCGGGGATGGTGCGAACGATGTGGCTATGATACAAAAAGCTCACATCGGCGTCGGTATGTTTTATCATATCTTTTAATTTTTTGTTGAATATTTTTATGTCATTGAAATACCAAGCACAATATATATGTTCCACTTCTTGTAGGTATCTCAGGTGTAGAAGGTCTTCAAGCGGCCTGTGCCTCTGATTACTCCATTGCACAGTTTCGTTTTTTAAAACGTCTGTTATTTGTTCATGGCTCTTGGAATTATAGTAGAATGTGTAAATTAATCTTGTACTCATTTTACAAGAATATTTGTTTATATGTTATCGAATTATGGTTTGCCATCTATTCCGGCTGGTCCGGGCAGATCCTTTTCGAAAGATGGTCCATTGGGCTTTACAACGTGGTAAGTTTTAAAAATTGTACATCATTTTTTTGCTCTAATAAATAAAATTAATTTTCAATGATTCTGGTATTTTATAGGTTTTTACCGCTGCGCCTCCGTTAGCTATGGGTCTCTTTGATAAAGTGTGTTCCGCAGAAACTCATTTGGCTCATCCAGGACTGTACGCGACGAAGAATAACGGCGAATCGTTTTTCAATATTAAAGTAAGAGTATAAAGTATTAAGTTTAGAAGTATAACAATATAGTTTAAACAAAATCAGACATTTCTAAATATATTTACATGTTTAAATGTAGGTATTTTGGGTATGGATTATAAATGCGCTAATTCATTCGTCGCTATTGTACTGGCTGCCGCTAATGGCGCTGAAACAAGACGTAGCTTGGGCAAATGGTAGAGACGGCGGTTATCTTCTATTAGGAAATTTCGTCTATACGGTGAGTACAACATCCCTTACATTATGTAATTCTATCAGAGAAATTTATAAAGTTCTTATGAAAGAAAAAAAGATTTACATATATATGGTATGGTTTCTCAGTATGTTGTAGTAACAGTATGTGGGAAGGCGGGTCTAATAATAAACTCGTGGACTTGGGTTACCCATTTGGCGACATGGGGATCTATAATACTCTGGTTCTTATTTATTTTTATATATAGGTAAGATTCTCCCGATATAACATTGTGATGAGTTTTCTAACATGCATTAAGAGTATGTAATATGTTTAATGCATTCTTGTTGTTGCAGTAATTTTTGGCCCGTCTTAAACGTTGGTGCTGTGATGCTGGGTAATGACAAAATGTTATTTTCGTCACCTGTTTTTTGGCTAGGACTTATATTAATACCTATCGCGGTATTGTTGTTGGATATCACAGTAAAAGCGTGAGTACGGCCGCTACTAAATGTTTACATGATGATATTTTATACTTATGGTGATGGTCTATTTTGTTAGAGTGAAGAATACAGTTTGGAAATCTGTAACGGAAGCAGCTCGAGAGAATGAAATCAGAAAGTCCGATCCTGGTGATATATTCAACAATCAAGATTATAGAAGCTCGTAAGTACCCTTTTTTTTAATTAAAGATTAACACAGAAAATGCAAAGTGGCATTTTAAATAATAGAAAAGGAGTTTTCTAATGTTTAATTTAAATCATGGTGAAAGATTATATTATTATAACCGACAATTTAAGCTACCGGAGAAACAAAATATCGATTTATCATTAATTTGTTTCATCGTATATCGTAAAAACATTTAATACTCTATTGGTGCATGAACCGTTTTAATAACCGTATATATTTTGTTGACTTATCAAAACTGTGCATGGCTTTCTAGATTCTAGCTCCATTATCGCGAACTATTTGTATTTGAGAACAGATTTATATCGGTGTTGAGTGGTTTGACTAAAACTGTGAACAAAAATACTCTATGTCTTGGTATATTTAGGTGCATGTATGTAACAACTATTAATCTAATCTAATCTAATCACGGAATTCGACTTTTCTAAATAACACTGCCGTCTGTATATTCGCTTACGTGTTAGAGTGCCTCTTGAAAGTGACAAACCTTTAACTATATCTACCTAAATATCATTGTCTCCTAATTGAGCGGATAAATATGAATTATAACAGGAGGTCAACGAAGCGATGGTTAAATCGATATTGGACCTTGATCTATCCGCGACGAAGACGCAATAGGCCAAGAGTGTTTCCCTTTGTAGCACGTGGCTCGTGGTTTACGCACCGTTCCGAGCATGCATCAACTGCAACACTTCAAATTTCATATTCCTGAATCTCATCTTCCCATCCATCTCCTGTCTTCCAAGAATGCCAATATAGTAAGCATTTTAGTATATGCGATTACTATACGCGCACAAGTTCCTTTCAATATTAACGTAATAAATCTTGTGCAATATAAAATGATTAGTGCTGAATTTTATGTAGCACAGATTTCTGTATACGTATGTACTGAATTATTCGTTTAGCGTATACAGAAATATTTGTATTTTTTTTGTTTGAGTTACGTTAAAAATGTATATGCATTTCTTATATTATATATTTTTTTATATTTGTGATATTCAAAGAATGCAATTATAATTATTTAATTTGATTGCAGATATATAATTGTATATATTTATTTAATTCAAATGTATTGAACATGTCATATCCAATAGAATCTCTCGCACGGCTTTTATTCCCGGTTCAATTATTTGCATTATTTTGCAAGATTATAAAAAATAATGCATTATAATACGGTGACATGCTGCAGGTTCTATTGTATATCTCTCTAATGTATTTTTTGTTACCATTATCATTGTTATTAATCCTACCTCTTGTGTTAAATTAAAAATTTACTTTACACATTCTCCATTATTTATGTAGCATCATCAATTAATATATATTTCCCTATTGTATTGAGAAAAAAATACTAAATAAATACTTGTTTGAATAATATTAACTACATATTTACTAAGTGTAAATGTATATTTGTTTACCGTAAACGTTAAGTTAGTACTATTCAAACAAATATTGATAAAATTCGGTACATTTTTTCTCAGTGTAGCATATAGTACGTATTGACGGCTTATTTTTTACAACTCTGTATACATATGTGCACATAAAATATTCCAATGGAGCTAGATTATTGATATATTTAGACTTCTACTTTAAGATATGTAAATTAATTCTGAGTCATGTAGCATTAAAAAAGTTCTTATATCCTCCCAACTATTCTCTTAGGGTACGATCAGTCTTACTACAAAAATACTTTGAAGCGTTTGATTGACTAATCAGAAGAAAGAATTTTACTAAATGACCAATCAAAAAATGCTTCAAAGCATTTGTTGACCTTCTCGTTGACCGTATCCTTCAAGTAAATAGAGCTTGTAAAATTAACGGTGTATCCGTTATTATAATAATGTTCACTGTAAACGATCTGTCGTTCGTTAATGCGGTCTTTTTTTATGTGTTCTCTTACGTGGTATCCCGTGTAGGCCTGTGCATGCCATCGCCGATCTCGCGAGGTGTAAGTACTCCCTAATACCCAGTATATAATTTCTCAGTGCTCCTACTTATATATCTTTTTCTTTCTCTCCACTACAAACGAGAACACCGCCAATTAAACGAGATCGCATGATCGTTTGATGTACCGCTGGATTAAAAAAGGCCAAGCACAGAGCACAGCGTTTTGAAAACGGCAATCACGCAATTTTTTTTTCACGTCTCGGTGTAGTTCACGATGATTCTTATGGCAGTAATTAGAACTTTGTTCATGCTTGCGATAGCATGCGTATATACACCTGGCTTATCAGCGACGCGCATGTTTAATCATCATAATTAATTAATTAATTATTTTTCTAATAAGAGTAGTGTCGATTTTTCCCTTTGCGAGTAAATTAAGATCCACCCCTCACGATCTTCATTTGATTTTCACCTTGTTCTACTTAATTCCTGCACGGTAATTGCACCGAACTTACTATCACGTATTCGTATAACATCCATCGGCGTGAAACAAAAAGAAAACTCGGGTTTCGCGTTTGAGATTGGAAAAGCATTGTCGACCGAGAATATCCCGAAGGCGAGAGATTACAGAGCGATGAAATTAGAAAGGTATTATAGGCACTGAGAAAAAAATAAAGAGCAAATTATATAATTCATCGTTTTGTCCATGCGACGACGGCGCGTGGGCGCGAGAGGAGCTCTCTCCGGCCAGCCGAGAATCTTTAAATTATTGCTGAATGCCCGGCTTTGCAGATTGACCGAGACGGCGAGGTTGCTGAAAAATGTTAAAAGCGTTTTCACCAGGCGCTCGAACGCCGCCACCAGAGTCAATGTCGAGGTGGAGCTATCACGTAAGTTGTCTCTTCCACTCGCACACAGCCCGAAGATATTTCCGTTTACGATGCCCGAGGTCGGTCTCACTCCCCTAATGATCTCCCGAATCGGTTAACCCACCCCAACGTCAACTTTATGAAGTAAACCCCCTCTCGCGAAACTACTTTCTTATTACTGGGGTAAATTGTTCTAACGTGTTTCTTCATATATTTTACTTTTCCGCACTTTATTTCTAATACAAGCACGCGCTTTATTTCACCGGCTTTCCGTTTTTCTCGTCCGTCCGTTTAGCTTTATTTTATCGACGAGTGCTGTCCCAAAGTATTTTAAATTACTATTTCGAACAAATTCTACGTGTTTTCGTTAAATCTGATTATTTAACTGCACACTCTTGCACGTGCACCGTGTTTTATCTCGTAGTTGAAATATAATTTTCTTTAGCAGCCGATGCATTGCGCCAGGTGTCCTGGAAGTCGCGCTCTTCTCTCAATTTTAATAGAGACCCTATGGGCGGAAGCACAGAGTCTTGCACATTGCTGATTGCATAATGGACTTTCTGCAATAAATCATTACATAAATTTTAAGTCTTAAACAGTAAGAAATTGATGAATCATTCGATTAATTTTCATATCACATTCAACTGTAATTGATCATTTTTCTTAAAAATTAAAGCTTAGGTAATAGCTTGTTATAGAAAAAACAATTTTTTTTTATTTTCTTCTTTTCTATGAAATAAAAGATTCTGATTGGTTGATTTTTTCTTATGCTTTATGTATTATGTGTTATGCAAAGGTCTGTGCTCCCCGACTTTATAACAGTTTGACACGAAATAAAAAATTTTTTATTAGCCCGTCATTTTTGTCCACTTCAGCAAATTAGAATGAAATAGCATGTATGCTCTTCTTTGTCACTCTTATTTTAATAAAACTATTCGTGGTCAGACTCTGTTAAAAGGACTTCAATTCTTAAAACTTGTCGGTATCCATCATCTCGAATGGCAGTGCGACAATTCCGGAACGCCTTGTATATATAGCTATGATTTTAATTAGCGGAATTAGAGAATATTTATCCGAGACTAGAGAACACTTTCTTTTTTTGCTATAAATAACGCTTTACTGAATCCGAATACTTAAATATTCTATATTAAAGCAATACTGAGAATCCTTGGCTGCTTATGGACGCGTCTAGCGATGAGTTAACTGGCAAATCGTCTCAAAACATGAAACTGTTTTACACTATGTGAAATGTAATTTTCGTAGACATTTCGTGAATTGCTCGAAAATTTATGAGAATGATAACGGATAGCTCATCACTGGATGCGAATTAGACGAAGTAGAAGGCAGATTTCCGACGCCTTGCATACCCATTTAATAAACGTTCTTATATAGAGATTAATGAATTGCGACCTTTGTTATTGCGCATGCTGCGCGATGCAGATGGTTTTGCGTTCTCGCAAGAGGAAGGTGGCTCGGTGACCCAGACGGACGTGATCAGAGCCTACGACACGAATCTTCCGAAACCCGGTGGTATGTGATTTAAGCGGGGCGGACGCCGTGTGGCGAGAGGATGCAGGCTGCTTTTCCAAGCGACCTGAGTGATGAGAGTTCCGCGTTTTACTCGATTGACGTGGGAGAGGATCGACGATGGATTTAAGGACCGAGAAGACTTAAGAAAAAATTCCTATTCTTTAATTAGTCGTGTTTTATTAAGTTAGAATCTGACGATCCTAACGAAATGGCCTTTTAATCGCGACTGATCACTAAAGTATTTTATTTCGCTGGACTTGTTATTCGGGAAAAAGGAATTGCATACTTGTAACCTGATGCATGCATTCAGAATGGATGCGACTAATTAATATGTCAATAACGTTAATGTTCGAACCAAGGGTTCCTGTTTGAATTACTGCGATCTACTTTTACAGAAGAATACTCTAATATTAGTACGAGTAATTATTTTGATACTTCATGAAATTTTATTCTGATATACCATAGAGATCTCGTCCTTAAAGTATCGGGTAGCAGCGCATTTCGCTCGCAATGCATTTGGAAACGCATTTCGTTTTAGCGTCAAAGTCGTGTGTGCAGAGTCTTATATGGTAAAAAAAAAAAAAAAAAAAAAAAAAAAC